GGGGTATTAGAAATTAGCCGATCTGTGGACCAGTATGCTTTTATATTATGCTTATAGACGTGAGGCATAAGCATTATTGTTGCAAAAAGCAAATACATTTCTGCAACAGTCATCTCTTTCCACCTGTGTAGTCTTGACTGTGGTGATAAGATCGTATTTGCCATGGTGTACTGAAAATACTTATTACTTTCCCTGGCAATAATTTCCATCAATGGGTGGTCAAAGAATAATTCAAAGAATTCCAGTTCATTGGCCGTGGTTCCAAGGGGAAAGGTAGGTAGAATTCCACTTTGAGAGTCATCAAAGTGGTGAGGCTTGGGAACAAAATTGGGATTTTGCTGCCAATCCCACATACGGTTTTGTGGTGGATACTGGACATCATAGGCTGGTTGTACGGGTGGTTGTGGTTGTGGCGGGCTGGTGGCTGACGCTCCGCTTTGTCCTTGAACTGACGAGTCAGCAGCGTGGGTCCCCGCGTGGCACGGTGAGTCACGCATGGCGGTGCCACTACCACCACCAGCACCACTAACACCATCCACTGATGCCTGTGGCCCATCCATGCCAAGTGTAGCCACATCATCCTCACTATCACTACCTAAAACGGGTGTAGGGCCACGGGATGTACTCCGGGATGTACTCCGGGATGAACTCCGTCCCCTGGGCACAGCATAGGGTACACTACCCGAGCGCATGCGGCGGCGAACATACCGACGCTTCACTGGTGAATATGATTCCTCACTATCACTACTCGAATGATCGTCGAGCGCAATAAAATCACAATCCACGTCAGAATCATCATCATTACTGAAGTCAGAGGCCTGGCCACGCGAAAATATTAGTTTTCTCTTACATTTAGGAACACCCGACCGTGAGTCACGAGTGCCCACACCAGAGGTAGAAGATCGAGGATCGTCGGGGTTTTCTGCACTATTATCGATATCCTGTTCATTATTTTCGGTCACTAACTTATCAAAGCCGTAGAATTCGTCTTCATTTGCACTTCCATCAGTGTCAGAACTATCAGACAGGAAGAGGAGAGTCCCAATTTTCCGGGGAGTGAGAGCTGACTTGCGACGAGGCAAGGTGAACAAGGGTGACTGAGCCAGCGTTCCCACAATGCTATGCAGGCGCCTAGATTTTTTGTTTATGGCGCACACCCACGGCGCAGACCCATTCTCTCACATGTAGGCCTATGAGCGCTTTCGCGCTAAATTTGACGGCGCTAGAATTTTGGCGTAGATCTACGGTTTGGACACTCACCAAAAAGCCGTAGATCTACGGGACGGACCCTGAAAGGATTAAACGAGATAAAACGAATAAATGAGAGAGAAAGAATGAGTACATGAGAGAGGACAGGCGCAGAGTTATGTAAACAAACCAGGCGAACGCAAGTTTTGTAAGCAAAGTGTACACGTTTGGTTTGTGTACAAGTTACATTGTGTACAAGTTGTCTCTACATTGATACAGTAGAATAAATAAAGAAAAACACTCCTATTCTCATGTAACGCCATTTTTAGAAGAAATGACGCTCTGAGTGAAGGCAATGGAAATAAGTCACTCTGACTTTTTTGGGTTATCCTAGGTTCTCTACACATATGCTGTTATGTATGATAATCTATGTAACTGTATCTGTGTGTACCTGAATAAACTTACTTACATACGAAAGGAATAATTTTCTACAGTTACCCCCAGTAACACATTTTCTTTGATGTTGGACTAGAGAAAATGTTATTCTTGCTGTCACTCGTAAAAGTCTGGCTCCCACATCTCATATTTATGTTTATTTATTCCATTGTGGGGTGTATTTATCATCTTTATGTTATGTAATGTGTTTATTATATAATTTTGAAAAAAATATCAATGATAGATTAATGAAAATGTGTATATTAACATAATATACAACATTTAATGAGACTCGGTGATTATTATTATTATTATTTCTAATATGGCATCATTTGTGCAAGTCGGCCGGCTACCACATCTCATATTTGTTTATTTATTCTACTGTGGAGTGTATTTATCATCTTTATATGTTATGCATTGTGTTTATTACATAATTTTTAAAAAATATCATAGATGGATTAACAAAAATGTGTATATTAACGTAATATATGACATTTAAATGAGACTCGGTGATTATCATCATTACTAATGTGACATATCGAGACACAAGACACTCTTACTGATTTTAATGCGTACCTGCACGCCAGCACAGTATGTAAGTTTATTTAGGTACAGGTATACATAATTATAATTATCAGAGTATACATCTACCATCCGATTTACGACCGAGTTCGGTTCCGAGAAACTGGTCGTAAGTCGAAATGGTCGTAAGTTGAACTTTACTACTGAATATCAACAAAACATTTTTGTAATGACTTTATTTTATTGCTTTATTTTGGTATTTCATGTTTTACTTTACTTTTTATGTTGTTAGTACTGCATTTTATACTGTAAGGTTTAGGATAAACACTGTGTACAACAAAAATAGTTGTTTATTTCCCAGAAATTTGGCATAAAAAACACGGTCATAAGTCGAGTGGTCGTAAGCCGAGCAGGTCGTAAGTCGGATGGTAGGTGTATATAAAATATGAAAACTTTTAGAAACACTTGAAATTTTGGAGTTTCCAGACATAATGGAGAGACTTAGTGCTTACGGATCTCACAGAGAATGTAAACAAACCAGGTGGGGCGTGGTGACCGTATTAGGAAGTCAGGTGGGGGAGCCGTATAGCGAGTTTTGGTCATAATTTGAAATGACTGTATTAGTGGAATGCCATAAAGCGAAACGCCGTAAAGCGGGGCCTTACTGTATTCCCTTGAACGCAGGTGAGAGAAATACATGATAATATATACACTTGGAAGGTCCTGGAGGGATTGGTACCAAACCTGCACATGAAAATCACTCCATATGAAAGCAAAAGACTCGGCAGGAGATGCAACATTCCCCCAATGAAAAGCAGGGGCACCACGAGTACACCGAGAGACAACACAACAAGTGTCCGGGGCCCAAGACTGTTCAATTGCCTCCCAGCATCTCAGTAGTACCAGCGTCGCCGAGCACTCAGTAGTACCAGTACCAGTTACCAGTAGTATGACTCACTACCAACCGTCTGTGTGAATCACTTGTTATTCACTGTTACAGCTGACCCTAAGATGTTTTGAATGCCGCTCACCCTCTAGGAATCATCTCGTGAGTCAGTCGAAGGATAGGGAGCGGAGACGCAGGTCAGGCTTGGTGCTTCCCATAGGTTCCATTTTAATGTACTCCATTATTGCCTATGTGAGTATGTAAGATACACCAGTGCTGAAAGTTTGAGGCCAATCAAAAAAGGCTTTCAAGTTATCACACGGCAATGAAATCCAAGAATGTTTTATATAAAATTAACCAGAGAACATCTACACCTGCAACAACTGCATAAACCTTTCCCCTAATCACAGTACACCAGCTTATAAGTCAACCAACTGAGGAATTCTAAAGTTATAAACAAAAATTAGAGGAAGACAAAATCAAGCAACCATTTAAAGGTACTACAAGAGGGATACACTATTTAATTACTGCATATGCAGTTCTCGCACTAAACATATCTTTTATGCAGAGGTATATTTATGGACAAAAGCTCTATTTTTTAAATCAAATCACAGAACAGGTAGGGCTTGAACCCATGGCTGGCAAGTCCATAAACTCACAAGAGAGAGCATTTACCAGACCAGCTGGCTCTTAATAAAAGTCATCCAACAGGGGCTCACGCTGCACCTGTTTATCATTTGTTTGCAATCGTGTTCTATTATTGGCCAGTCCATAACTGTACCTTATAAGCCAAGGCAGGTTCAGCAGTTCACAACTCATTAAAAAATAAAATTTTTCAGACATGTATTAGAACAATTTTGTAGTTGACTTGTTAAACCTACACATTACGATAATAGCTTACTGGAATGAGAGAGACAGAAGTGTAAATTAAATCCAGTGAAATGCATGGGGATCACCACATGCAGACACTAAGAGCACATTGTGTCAATATCCATTTTCCAAGGCTATTCAACCTGCTACCAGATCACACACACACATTACTGAACCAAGTGTAGAAGCCTTTTAGAGGACACTGGACCACTACCTCCACAAAATGCCACATCACCCAGGATGTAGGTGCTATGCAGGCCAGCAGGCTGCCAACAGCTACAGCCTAGTTAAGCAGATTATCAACAGAGAAAAAAGAAAAAAATCGCAGGTAAATAACAGCTTTTGTTCCCCCCAAGCTCATTAAATGTACAATTCAACGAATGTTAACTCCTGTTCCAATGGACTTACAATCAATATTAACAGGGTTCCTCTCAAGGTGGACTTAGGAACGGGGAAATATACGACCTCCCTTGAAGAGTACACCCGCAGCAAGTCCAAATAGTCATTATTCCCACTTATGAGTGACTGAAAATGATTGGAAAACACCCTCTCCTAAGTCAGGAGCAGCACAGATACACATCTGAATGCCTCACTTTTCTTGGGAAGGAGTTAGGGCACTCTGTATTTCACATAAATGTGCTGTATCATCATTCTCACATGATAAAGTAGGATTAAGTCTGCTTAGTACTTTCATCGATTCAATGATCTTGGTGGAAATTACCTTCTACTCACGTTAACTTTTTGTAACCTACAAGATTCTCCCAGTCTTAACCTCATCATTCCTTTGCAATTTACTTCCCTGCTGAACATCCACACTTATCACAACTTATGCACACAATTTTTTTGTTTTATCACACCTTACCATATACTACCTTTAATCCTTAATACTGCACATCTTTATCATTTGTATTTGCACAATGTCAGTGAATTTTATTTTTTTAATTTTTTTGCTCTAAGATTACTACAACAGTGCACAAACTCTTATTTAGCTTTCATGGCATCTCGGCTATTTGTTTTCTTTCACCCTTCAACTCTTATTTAACCTTATCTTCCACAGCAATATCATGTTAAAAAAATTCTTTGATATTGTATCTCTCACCTGATGTAAAGAATTGTGAAAGTCTTGTTGTTTATTTGTTATACGTCTAGCTTCAGTAAGAGTTACCATTTGCTCGTGGCACTCCTCCCAGTCCCCATCCACTGCCGCTGAGCCAAATGTTTCATCATTAAGAGCGTCATATTCCTCATCCTCAGTGAGCCCTATCTCCAGGGCTCCATCCTCAGGCTGTTATAGGGAAAAATTTATCCATTAAATTCAGTACAAGGTAGGGAAAGGGTAATTATTTTGAATGCATGTCCACTGCAAGTGGTGATGAACACACATGAAGTGTGTTGAGCACAACCTGTAGGGGTCAAGTTGCACCTGGGGAAATGAGAGGCATTCAGCTTTGATGTAAGTCCTTTGATCCAAGTCCTTACATCAAGAGCCTTTACGAGAATCACAGAACATCCTTTGAGGGCCCAAAATTCACATGTACACATTATAATACAGTAGTCTCCTGTATCTGCAGGGTATATGTTCCAAGACTTACTATGGATACCCAAAACTGTGGATAGTAGCGAACCCTACAGTTGCTTTTTGTTTGCATGAATACCTATGAAAATGTTTGATAAATTATGCACAATAAGTGGAGAATTAGCACTTTTTCACTGATGGAAAGCACTTCACAGCTTCTCTTATTAGACTTTGAAGAATTGCTAGCATCACTACTTTGTGCTTTGGTGTCATTATTAAACAAAATTAAAGGTTATTTTCAGGCCATGGTAAACCGTGGATGACTGAAACTGCAGAAACTGAATCCATGGATATGGGGGTTCTACTTTATGTACAATATATAGTAACAGTACACAAGAGAATCCTGCATAATTACAGATAAAAATTATATCTTGTACAGTACATGTATATTCATAAATTAGAGCCTATGTACATCAATTCGTATTTATAATTATTGGTAACCTCCATGGGGAAGTGGAGAAGAATCCTTCCTCTGTAAGCCATGCATAAGAGGCAACAAAAATGCCAGAAGCAAGGGGCTAGTAATTCCTTCTCCTGTATAAATTACAGCCTCTCCTCACTTAACGACAGAGTTCTGTTCCTAAGACCATGTCGGTAAACGAATTTCATCACTAAGTGTGGAGCATACTATAATGGTAGTGGGTTTGCATCAACCATCTTTAACATTGTTTTAATGTCACCTTTGCATCATTTATAACATTTGATATATTTTTAAATGTTTATACAGTAGTGTACAATTTATTGTAATAAAGAGAATAGAGGAAATCAGCTCTAATATATACACTGTACATTATTTAGGTATGCATACTGGTCAGAGAGCCCGTCGTAAGTCCAAGGCGTCAGTAAACAAGTACATCGCTATGCGAGAAGAGGCTGTACTATATCTCTACGATTAGCTGTTGGAGTGTGAGCAGGGTAATATTTTGTGATGGGATTCAGGGAAACTGGTTAGCCAGACTTGAGTCCTGAAGGTGGGAAGTACAATGCCTACACTCTAAAGGAGTAGTTTGGAATATTGGTTGTTTGTAGCGACATCTAAACTCATATCTGTCGAGAAAACAACTTGCTCCAAGGAAGACTGAGAAGTAGCAGTAGGCTTACTGTCTACATATCTGGAATGACGGTAAAAGCTTTTTCTTTTTTTTTTTTGGTGGGAAATGGCAGTCGTGATGAAAAAAAAATCTCTGACATACCCAGTGTCCAGTTTAAACTTTGTATAAAACTTGTGTGTATAAAAGAACCCAAAATCTGGAACCCCCTGCCAGAAATCTCCAGTCTCTCTAACTGCTAGCATCTTCAAAGCTACTGTAAAACAAATACCTTTACCTAATACGTATATGCTAAGAATTAAATATGATAAATGTGTTAAAAAACATGTTAATATGCTAAACAATTCTCTTAACCACAAACATGTGAAACACTATAAATTCTTATTCTTATTACCTGCAATCATAATCCAACCTTAAGTGTTAAATTTATTATTTATATACCCTTAATGTCCTTAGATATAAGCATTTAATTTATTAATGACATTGTAGTCTTCAGTTAAGCTTAATTAAGCTTGCCCAAAATACTCTGCATAACTGTGGGCTTTCTGCATGCACAACTAAAATGTCACCCATCTCTGTAAAAACACTAATATGCTGAAACATGGGGAAGGGGGATGGGGCTGTGTAAAGTGATAGAAAATATTCAAGAGGTGGTGGAGGGGGAAGGATCTACGAGACTGTGAAGCAATTTTGCAGATATTATTTTTGCAGGCCCGTGCAACAACGAAAATGAGGGTTGTGTCAGTAGAAAGGAGGGTTTGGCCTCAGATGATGGTCCCTGTGGAGGGAGCTTACCCCATGTATGCATGGAAAAGCATTTGGCAGCGTTTGAAGGGGTTGCACTTACGTTCACGTGTGAGGGAAGTGATGTTTCGATTCTTACATGGCATCCTACCATGAGGGGTGGTCTTAAAGACCAGACGAATTCGAGAGAGTGGCGCATGTTCGTTTATTTCTAGGAGCATTTAGGAGTCGTGAGGGAATGGTTGGGGAAAGTATTTCGACTTGTAGGAGGGGGGGGGGACTGTCAGTTCTAAGGGCTTTAAGTTTGGATCTGGGTGGGACGGAGGACAGGATTCAACGGGCATTGGCTTACGTAATTGTTGATTTTGTTTACATGTCATGGATGTTGCGAGAAAGGACAGTACGAGAAAGACTAGGGGCGTTAGCAGCAAGTTTTTATAAAACCAAGTGTCGCAATAAAGGGATATACAGAGGTAGGTGGGAGCAAGATTTTCTGGAAAGTTACAGAGCTTTTACAGTGGGGGATTTGTGGCGACTGTAGTTTCAGGGGTAGAAATGGGCTCGTCTCCCAGAGGACATGACATTTTGGAGTGTGTGGTGTATGTTTGCCGAGGACAAGTTTTAATCGATCACGAGCGCGTGCAAATGGGGGAGGGGGTGTAAGGTGTGATTGCGAGAGTATTACTCTCGGCAGAGATTATGTAATGGTGGAAGTAGGGGCAGAAAAAGGAAACCTTGATCCCATTAGCAAAAATTAGTTCGTTGTGTGGGTTTTAGATACCGTATTGTACTTTAGGAAAATCTAGTTTAGGGTACCAAGACAAGTTGGTTTTGGGCTTTACGTTTAATGTATTCCTGTTTTATACCCCCCAGTAACTTTTTTTATTTTGTTGTGAAAAGCACACTTTTGTGTTGTCTTTGGTGTGACCTATGAGGAAGTCACTATTTACTGTAACAAATTTTTTTTCCCAACAATGTTTTATTCCCTTGATACATGCGGTACTAAGCCCCTAGATGTGCAATGTAAAGGAAGAGTTGGGTTTTGGTGTGTGGCCGGGTTTTTTTGGGGGGGGGGGGGAGAAAAAATGGGTGAGTTACAGGTGTGTGTTTTTCATTGCATTTCCGATATGTCGAAACATATATTCCCGAGTGTAGGGAAAACTTTCTCATTTTTCCATAGGCATTCATTGCATGGACAGAAGCATTGTTTTTTTTTTATCATCGACCTTGGTTATTTTGAAATATGTTACTTTTCCCATGTACCTGGGGTTTTCTTATTTGTATCTCAGTGCTCCTAATTTTTTTTCTAATCATGTGAATTACGGGGGACCCACGGTTACAAAGTATCGGTACCGATAAATCCGGTATCCGAAGCTTATATCACAAAAAATTTGCCTCGGTTCCGTTACAAACCCCGGGTTGCAATCGTTCATCGAACGTATCCAGTGGGGCCTGAACTGTCCGTGTGTGCCAATGTTCACAAGCCAGCCAGTGTGCACGCATCTAAGGATACATTCGGTACATCCTATATTATCCATATTACAGTGGACCCCTGGTTAACGATATTTTTTCACTCCAGAAGTATGTTCAGGTGCCAGTACTGATCAAATTTGTTCCCATAAGGAATTTTGTGAAGTAGATTAGTCCATTTCAGACTCCCAAACATACACGTACAAACGCACTTACATAAATACACTTACATAATTGGTCCCGTTCGGAGGTGATCGTTATGCGGGGGTCCACTGTATCACTGTTTTTGGTGCTTGTCTCTGCAAAATAAGTCCCCAAAAAAAGCTTTTTTGTCCCAAACCCCACGAGCCAAGGGGCAAATGACTATTGAAATGAAAAAGAGTAATTGCAAATAAAAAGTGGAGTGTGGTGTGGGGACCTGGCCAAGTTGTTGAAATCCCAATCAACCACTCTACTTAGTGAGCGGGGGAAAAACGGCAATAAAAGGAAGCTGTTGTTGCAAAAGGTGAAAATGTGTTTACAAAACAGCGATCGCAAGTTTTTAGAAAATGTTGAGAGACTGTTAGGGTGTGGTAAATGAAAAAAGATAGCGGGAGATGCATCTCTCAAGCGATCATTTGTGAAAAGGCTAGGCACCTTCCCCTCCCCCATCCCATAAATAAATAAGAAAAATAAATTTCATTGGATTTTTAACCCCGGAGGGTTAGCCCCCCCGGGAAACCCAAGAAAGTCGTGCGTCATCGAGGACTGTCTAACTTTTTTTCCATTGGGTCCTTAATCTTGTCCCCAGATCGACCCACACCAGCGACTAAACCCAGGTACCTATTTGCTGCTAGGTGAACAGGACAACGGTGAAGGAAAGTGTCAAAGGGGGGGGGGGGGGGGGGGGGGGGGGGGGGGGGGGTTTTCACCCCCCGGGAATCAAACCTGGGCCCTCCGGTGTTGGCGGGAGTTTTAGCCCCCAGGCCCCCGGTTAGTGCAATTTTCTATTGTGATTATTGTTACTGTAATTATTTATTGCATTAAATTTTAATATTTAGTGGTAAAAAAGTTTTTTTCATATTTTTTGGGGTTTTTGCACGGATTAATTTGATTTCATTATTTCTTTTTGGGGAAAAAATTTATTGCTTTCCGATAATTTTTTCTTTCCTGGAGTTTTCCTGGAGAGAGTTTCGGGGGTCAAAAACCCCCGCGGGGGCCGGGCTGTGACCAGGCCTCCTGGTGGATCAGCGCCTGACAACCAGGCTGTTTCTGCGGGGTGCACGCAAACCCAAAGTACGAGCCACAGCCCGGTGATCAGGAACTACTTTAGGTGCTTGTCCATCCCGTGAAGACGCCAGGGGTCTGTTGGTAACCCCCCCTTTTGTGGGTGGGAGGGAGTTGAAAATCTCGGGCCCCTGACATTATTGTAGGTCTCTTAACGTGCTTGGACAAACCCTGCTTTTC